CTGTAGGGGGCTGAGGTGTCACCAGTCCCACCAATATTCCTTAGCAGGGGACTCAGCCCCCCCCCAAATATTGAAGACAGCATCAAAGGCAGGCTCCTTCTGAGCATGAGAGAGGAAGAGTTGTGGCCATCAAAGCTGTGCAACACTGGGCAAGGCCTTCTCTCAACAATGTGCCTCCTCCCACTGACACGTGCATGACATCACAGGCGCGTGTGCAACATCTCGCATGTACCACGCTGCTGGCCACCCAGTCTTTGCCCAAGGTGGCACCTCTGCATTAAGGCAAGCTTTGCTTATTTCTTTTGTGTAAGAACTTCTTATAGGCGTAAGGTTATGGGTAAAACAAATATTCATAGCAGACACACTCCTAACTCTAGCAGAAGATCCCAAACCTCTCAGTGGTGTGTGTATGAATAAACGTTAGTGCTGGACACTCTCCCAGTTCACGTTGTGTCAGGGTATACTAACCATGTCGAAGCTCACAAGGGCAAAAACTCGAATCCATGGGTCAGGATTACACCGGGTGTGTGCTAGTGTTCTACCAAGCTGTACATTGGCACCCTCCCAATGTTTTACACTACAACTCCCCTCAACCCAGGCCAGTACAGTCAATGGTCAGGGATGATGGGAGTTGCAAGCCAGACACATTTGGAGAGCACCAGATTGGGGAAAACGGATCTACTGTGTGTGGCTAGTTGCATATCAGTAGTGTAGATTTTATTTTGTTTAATTATTTGTTGGGTTTTGGCTTCGTAGCCCCACCTAACCTTGCCCACTTAGTGTGGGCAGTAGCCCTGGGCGCAAAATTGTTAGGGGCGCAAAATTTCAACACCCGCTGCTGCCTCCATATGGCTGTGCACTTCCATTGCTGGGCTCCATTGAAAATGGCTTCTCCATGCAAACCAGGAAGTGACCTCGCCACCAGACAAAAGAACAACTCTTATCTCTGCAGCTGCAATCTCTTGGGTGACATGGACGCCGTTAGGCAATTGAATGTGCATGCGTACTCCACCTGTTTACCTCCCACCTGAAGTATATGTGGGTTCAAGCAAGACCCAAGGCAGTGATTCAGCTTGACAACTGCATATGTGCATTTCTGAAGGCCTGGGCCACCCTCAACATGATCGGCTGTCTCAACCCCGAAGCTGTAAATCGTAACCCGGAGCTTAAGAGCCAATGCCAGTAGCCTAAACTCTGATAATGCTACGTGATTGGATAGGTAAAGGTAAAGGGACCCCTGACCATTAGGTCCAGTCGTGACCAACTCTGGGGTTGCGGCACTCATCTCGCTTTATTGGCCGAGGGAGCCGGCATACAGCTTCTGGGTCATGTGGCCAGCATGACTAAGCCGCTTCTGGCGAACCAGAGCAGCGCACAGAAACGCCGTTTACTTTCCCGCCAGAGCGGTACCTGTTTATCTACTTGCACTTTGATGTGCTTTCGAACTGCTAGGTTGGCAGGAGCAGGGACCGAGCAACGGGAGCTCACCCCGTCACGGGGATTCGAACCGCCGACCTTCTGATCGGCAAGTCCTAGGCTCTGTGGTTTAACCCACAGCGCCACCCGCGTCCCTTTATGTGATTGGATATCAGGTATCAAATCAGAACACAGGAGCTCAGAATCCTTAGTCCAGACCTTAATCTAGTTTGCTCAGACAAACACAGACCACTGAATACATGACACTGCCCACCCCTCCATGCAGCTCTGGGCTCTGGCAACCCACGGTACACCACTGCTACTTCCTCCAGATTTTGCCCATGACGAAGTGACATTCTGAAATCCCTCAAGGCATTTCTTTTGCCACCTGCTCCCCGTTTGTATATGCTTAGAGTTAAAAGAGCTCGAGGAAGTTTTTTCTCCCTCTCTCATAATAGCAGAACTTGGGACAATCCAATGAAGCTGAATATTGGAAGTTTCAGGAAAGAGAAATAAAAACACTTCTTTGCATAGAACGTAGTTAAACTGTGGAATTCACTTTTTTTAAAAATAATTTTTATTAAGTTTCCCATTTTAACAATCCAATCAAACCACACTGAATGTTCCAGATTATACAAATACATATCAAATAGTCCAAATATTCTGCCTAAATTATAATTTTTTTGTTGGGACTTCCCATGCTCCAAGTTTGGGAGGGGGGGCTCTGATCATCTCATATCTCTGCTGCCTTGAATAGTCTTTCCAATAGTTCCTTTAAATCTTCATGTTGTTAACCTCCCTTCTTTCATGGCCTCTGAGTTGTTTCCACAAGCGAGTTGAAATAAGCAATGATGGGAATTCACTTCCACAGGACACAATGGTGGCTTATTAGCCATGATAGAAATGTTGGAGGCAGTATGCTTCTGAATACCTGGTCCTGGGAATCACAAGTGCGGAGAGCACTGTTGCATTCAGGTCCTGCTTCTTAGTTTCCCACAGGCCTCTGGCTGGTCGCTGTGAGAATAGGATGCTGGACTAGATGGGGCTTTCACCTGATTCAGCAGCACTCCTGCTGGGCTGGGGTGAAGGTAGCTAATGAGTTTCACACCAGGGTGGAAAGTCCAGACAGTTTATTCAGCTATAGTAGGAGGCACAGAATAGGTTAACACCCAAAACATTTGCACAACTCCTTGAAGGCCCCAAAACATCATTACATGTGACGAATGCGTGATCACGTTAACTGTTGGCTACATATGCACATGATCATAGAAATACTGAAATGATTGGCTGATTTGCATGTGTTGTTGTTGTTTAGTCGTTTAGTCGTGTCCGACTCTTCGTGACCCCATGGACCAGAGCACCCCAGGCACTCCTGTCTTCCACTGCCTCCCGCAGTTTGGTCAGACTTATGTTCATAGCTTCGAGAACACTGTCCAACCATCTCGTCCTCTGTCGTCCCCTTCTCCTTGTGCGCTCCATCTTTCCCAACATCAGGGTCTTTTCCAGGGAGTCTTCTCTTCTCATGCGGTGGCCAAAGTATTGGAGCCTCAACTTCAGGATCTGTCCTTCCAGTGAGCACCCAGGGCTGATTTCCCTAAGAATGGAGAGGTTTGATCTTCTTGCAGTCCATGGGACTCTCAAGAGTCTCCTCCAGCACCATAATTCAAAAGCATCAATTCTTTGGCGATCAGCCTTCTTTATGGTCCAGCTCTCACTCCCATACTGGGAAAACCATAGTTTTAACTATACGGATCTTTGTTGGCAAGGTGATGTCTCTGCTTTTTAAGATGCTGTCTAGGTTGGTCGATTTGCATCTAGTAGTAATTAATAATAATAATACCCCACCCATCTGGCTGGGTTGCCCCAGCCACTCTGGGCAGCTTCCAACACATATAAACACACTGACAGGGGTGGCATGAGATGGGGGTGAGGATGGCAGTGAGGATGCAACAGTGCAGGACCACTAGCAGAAGCAATCTGGTGCTTCCACTGTGCAACACCTTATTGCTTAATAGCATCAAGCTCAGTCATGGGTAGCAAAAGGGATAGTTTTGCAATCACTCTTCAGTTAGAGCTTTAGTTCCTTAAAAAGCAGGTTCTAACAGGTTTTGTGGTCAAACTCATCTTCTGCCCCCCCTCCCTCCAGAACAACGTCTTTAGACAATGACAGGAATCTCCCAACCACAAAGTCTGTTGAAAGCGGACAGTTGGAGGATGGATGGTTGTTAATGGATGGAGGTTGAATCCCGACAAAACAGAAGTACTGTTTCTGGATGGCAGGGGGGACAGTGTGGAGGACTCCCTGGTCCTGAATGGGGTAACTGTGCCCCTGAAGGACCAGGTGTGCAGCCTTGGGGCTATTTTGGACTCACAGCTGTCCATGGAGGCGCAGGTCAATTCTGTGTCCAGGGCGGTTGTCTACCAGCTCCATCTGGTACACCGGCTGAGAACCTACCTGCCTGTGCACTGTCTCATCAGAATGGTACATGCCCTGGTTATCTTCCACGTGGACTACTGCAATGCGCTCTACATGGGGCTACGTTTGAAGGCGACTCAAAAACTGCAACTAATCCCAAATGTAGCAGCTACACAGGTGACTGGGAGCAGCCACCTAGACCATATAACACCTGTCCTAAAGGATCTACATTGGCTCCCAGTATTGTCGAAGCACAATTCTGTGCTGACCTTTAAAGCCCTAAATGGCCTCGGCCCAGTATACCTGAGGGAATGTCTCCACCCGCATCACTCAGCCCAGATACTGAGGTCCAGCTCCAAGGGCCTTCTGGCAGTTCCCTCACTATGAGAAGTTACAGGGAACCAGACAGAGGGCCTTCCAGGCAGTGGCACCTGCCCTGTGGAACACTCTCTCATCAGATGTCAAGGTGATAAAGAACTAAACAACTTTGAGAAGACATCTGAAGGCAGCCCTGTATGGAGAATTTTTAAATGTTCGATGTTGTGTTATGTTGTTTTATCTGTTGGAAGCCACCCAGATATTATCATCATCATTGCCGCCACCACAGTTTGGCTTTTGTTTTAACAAACATCAGGTGTGAGCTAAATTGGTAAATATGTCATGTCATTTACAAGCAGAATCTTCACTGGGGAGAAACAACTAGTTGGGAAAAAGCAATCACGACTATACTTAGGATTCAAGAAATACCCCGTCAGAATTTTGAGGACACTCCAATTTTGTTTTGAAACCTTTAATGATGGTGTCATTAAACACCCCTCCCATGCCATTGCTAAATCTTATCTGACAGCACCAATTTATTTCTCCTGTTGTAATATATAACTGGTAGGCAGTTTGCAGCTAATGCACCCAAGGTTCAACCACTTGACCGTTGAATGTGTTTCTTCTGCTATATACACTTCACACTTGGCCAGTCTTGGGAGAGGCTTGTAAACAGCTAAGAACATCAGGGGAGCTTGCTGGATCAGGCCAATGGCCCATCTAGCCCAGCATCCTGTTCTCCCCAGCAGCCACCCAGGTGCAAGCATAAGAGCACTCTTCCCTCCTGCCATTTCTACAAACTGCTTTCCAAGAACATTTGTGCCTCCAACCAAAGGGACATGGATTGAGCATGGATGGCAGAATGTGGACAAACAGGAACATGCAGACAAATATACTTATTCTATCCATTTGTGTATTTTGCATTCCAGTTCTTTCGGCATTGCTATTCTTTTCTGCCCTGCGAAGCTGCTACACAGATAATCCTAGTCCGCTGGAAAAGTGCTTCCAGGATGCTGAGTATGAGAATTATCTAGAGATAGCCAAGAACGGGCTGGGCAATGCATCGCACCCAAGACATGTGCTGATCGTAGGAGCAGGCATAGCAGGCCTCAGCGCAGCCTACACTCTCACAGAAGCTGGACACCAGGTAAGGGGTCCTTTAGTCTTCACAGATGTTGCAACTGGTCCTCTGCTTCCGAGGTTGCCCCCTAGGGACCTGCGTATTGATTTGTTTGCACAAAGTCTGCAGGGAGGTTAAACCACTGTGGCTCTTTGCTGAGTATTCGTTTTTTACTTTGCGGGGAGGTTAGGTGTTACATCAAAGGAAGTGTTATTCCACACCTCACCTTTTCTTCTCACACAGAGTCCAGTTGGGGAGGTGGGGGGGTTAAGGTTTGGTATTTGAGGGCACCAAATCAATTTTAATCATGCAACTTGACGTCGCAATCTGAGTTTGGTGGTATGTGATGGAGTCCCACCCAAAAATACCATGAATCTTTTTGGCTGCAGCAGATCTCACAAGGGCAGCCATTTAACATGGCACAGACCTCATCTGGTAGTTGGGGAAATTAGGCCGGAAAACGTGTGGAGGCGTAAGGAGCTGTTGTAGTTGTGTGCTGCCAACCACAGCAGAGCTCAGTAGAAGGAGAAGCCAGCCAACCAGTCGAGTCTCAGGGGGGTACTTGCCTGGAGGCAGAGGCTGTATGCAAGGTTCAGGCCAGTCAGGAGTATCTCAGTTCACGTAGTCAAATGATCTGGGGGTCAAGAAAGCAGAAGGTCCAAGGTCACGAGAAGCAAAAAGCAGCAAGGTCTGACCAGGAACGACAAATGTTGTTTCCAGCAACTGACTGAGGCTGAAAACCCTGCTTAAGAAAGCTGGAGCCATCTGGTTCTCCTCAGGAGCAAGAAGGCTGATCAGCAGCAGGTGGAGTCACTCTGCCTTCTGCTCCTTCAGGCTGCTGCTCAGCAGGTGACGCCGACTCCTGGCCCATGCTGGGTAAGTCTCTCAACTGCCCTCTAGAATTGTGATGTGGACCATGGAAATTGAGGCAGGCTATTGTAGCGTGGGTGGCGCTTTGGGTTAAACCACAGAGCCTAGGACTTGCCGATCAGAAGGTCGGCGGTTCGAATCCCCGCGACGGGGTGAGCTCCCGTTGCTCGGTCCCTGCTCCTGCCAACCTAGCAGTTCAAAAGCACGTCAAAGTGCAAGTAGATAAATAGGTACCGCTCCGGCGGGAAGGTAAATGGCATTTCCATGTGCTGCTCTGGTTCACCAGAAGCAGCTTAGTCATACTGGCCACATGACCCCGAAGCTGTACGCCGGCTCCCTCGGCCAATAAAGCGAGATGAGCGCCGCAACCCCAGAGTCGGCTATGACTGGACCCAATGGTCAGGGGTCCCTTTACCTAGTGTAGCATGAAGCAGTAGCTGGATTGATACAGCAGTTGCTGTCCTGTTTGCCTTCAGGTGACAGTTCTTGAAGCCAGTGACCGCGTGGGGGGACGAGTGGAGACGTATCGAAACGAGCAAGAAGGCTGGTATGCAGATCTGGGGCCCATGCGTTTGCCTCAGGTACACAGGTGAGACGGGAGGTTACCACATGCCTTTCACTTCATCTGCTGAGCACGCATAAATCCCGCCTTGCTCATCCGTGACGGCTCTTTCTACGGACATGTGTCCTGGTGCGCTTGGCGGTGTGGGAGACAAAAGAGCTGTTGGCCTGTTGCATCAGGAAGGAAGTGTATATGGAATTGAAGACAATGTATGACTTCTTGGATGTGGCCCACTAGTTGGAGAAAATCTTGGCTGCGAGGCCTACGGCAGTTTGTTTTCTGTGAACGGGACAGAGCTGATGGGAGGAGGAGGAGGCAGGACCTCTTCTGGGAACACTCATTATTCCTCCCTTCCCCAGGGTGGCAAACATAGCTCACCTCCCTTTTGCCCCACGATGCACCTGTGAAGAAGATAAAGTTGAGAGATAGTGACTATTTGTAAGCGCTGGGCAATAGGAAGCTGCCCAGAGTGGCTGGGGCAACCCAGTCAGATGGGTGTGGTACTATAATAATAATAATAATAATAATAATAGTAATAATTACTACTACTACTACTACTACAACAACAACTAGGTGTTTAGGAAGTGCTCTGCACAGGGCTTACCAAACCTTTTTGCTATCTCTCCCCACCCCCAGTCTGTTTATATATTCATTATACAGTGGTACCTCGGGTTACATACGCTTCATGTTTACATACGCTTCAGGTTACAGACTCTGCTAACCCAGAAATAGTGCTTCAGGTTAAGAACTTTGCTTCAGGATGAGAACAAAAATCATGCTCCGGTGGTGTGGCGGCAGCAGGAGACCCCATTAGCTAAAGTGGTGCTTCAGGTTAAAAACAGTTTCAGGTTAAGAACAGACCTCTGGAATGAATTAAGTACTTAACCCGAGGTACCACTGTATGCAGGGGGACACATAGCCCTAAACATTTTGTGAATCAAAGTTTGGCCTCATTGAGGGGCAGTATTTCAATACAAGTAGGAAAATGAAAGTACCCCTAAACACTTTTTTTAGAAAAAAAGCACTGATTATATATATATATGGTGGCAGGTGGATGATTAATATTCTGCAGCCTTTGAAATGTGCTTGTGTGCTCCTGTTTTGACTAATTATATGTGCTTTTATCTTGTGAACTCTCCTGAGATGAAGAGCGGTACAGTCAAAACAAATCGGCTCCCAAAAGATTGAAACCTGGAAGTGAGTGTTCCGGTTTTCAAACGATTTTCGGAAGCCTAACGTCTGGCTCGGCTTCCGACTGGCTGCAGGAGCTTCTTGCAGCCAATCAGAAGCCGCACTTTGGTTTCTGAACGTTTTGAAGTCAAACGGACTTCCGGAATGGATTCTGTTTGACTTCCAAGGTACGACTGTATATTAACCTAGTAAATAATAACAACATAATAATCACCGCTGCGTCTGACCATGGAAGCACAGCATATCCATCACGTTGTTGTTGTTGTTTAGTCGTGTCTGACTCTTCGTGACCCCCTGGACCAGAGCACGCCAGGCACTTCTGTCTTCCACTGCCTCCTGTAGTTTGGTCAAACTCATGCTGGTAGCTTTGAGAACACTGTCCAACCATCTCGTCCTCTGTCGTCCTCTGTCGTCCCCTTCTCCTTGTGCCCTCCATCTTTCCCAACGTCAGGTTCTTTTCCAGGGAGTCTTCTCTTCTCATGAGGTGGCCAAAGTATTGGAGCCTCAGCTTCAGGATCTGTCCTTCCAGTGAGCACTCAGGGCTGATTTCCTTCAGAATGGAGAGGTTTGATTTTCTTGTAGTCCGTGGGACTCTCAAGAGTCTTCTCCAGCACCATAATTCAAAAGCATCAATTCTTCGGCAATCCATCATAGCCAGTAGCAATTGCTAGCCTTGTCCTCCATGTGTTGATCTAACCCTCTTTTAAAGGCCTCCAAGTTGGTGGGCAACACTGCCTCTTGGAAGAGCAAATTCCACTCTTTTGACTATGCACTGTCCCCTTCTCATGCCTCAGGATCGTCCGCGAATATGTCAGAAAGTTTGGCCTGAGTCTGACGGAATTCTTTCCAGAGGATGAGAATGCCTGGTATTTGATTGACAACATCAGGAAGCGAGTCGGGGAGGTCAAGAGGAACCCCAGCCTCTTGAATTACACTGTGGATCCCTCGGAAGAAGGCAAAACCGCTGGTCAGCTGTATGAGGAATCCCTCCATCGGGTTGGGATACTTTTGGTGCTTCTTTTAATTGGGAAAACCTTCTGTGTCCTGTTCCAAATATTAAGACCGTAGAAGTGGAAAGAACCAAAAGCAAGTCTAGCCGACACACCCTCCTAAAATAAATTGTAGATCCTCTATGAGGGAAGGTTACTATATTGGGGGATTTATTTATTTTTACTAAGTGGAGGCATGAGAATATTTAAGATTATGTGATGCTAAATATTATGCATGGTATACAGAAAGTGGGTGGGGTTTTTTCTCCCTTTTTCATAACACTAGAAGTTGGGGACATCCAGTTAAGCTGAAGCTTAGAGGATTTGGGACGGACAAAAGAAAGCACCTCCTCAGGCAGCATATCACATTGTAGTAATCATCATCATCATCATCATCATCATCTATTACTTATACCCTGCCCATCTGGTCGGGCCTCCCCAGCCACTCTGGGCGGCTCCCAACAGAATATTAAAAACATGATAAAACATCAGCTATTAAAAACTTCCCTGAACGGGGCTGCCTTCAGATGTCTTCTAAAAGTCAGATAGTTGTTGATTTCCTTGACATCTGGTGGGAGGGCGTTCCACAGGGTGGGTGCCACTACTGAGAAGGCCCTCTGCCTGGTTCCCTGTAACTTGGCTTCTCGAAGTGAGGGAACCGCCAGAAGGCCCTCGGAGCTGGACCTCAGTGTCCGGGCTGAACGATGGGGGTGGAGACGCTCCTTCAGGTATACTGGGCCGAGGCCATTTGGGGGCTTTAAAGATCAGCACCAACACTTAGAATTGTGCTCGGAAACGTACTGGGAGCCAATGTAGGTAAACTATGAAATGCATTCTGACTTTTTCTTTATGGTCATACCAGGTTGAAGAAGAGGTGAAGAGGACAAACTGTAGCTACGTGCTGGGTAAATATGACACCTTCTCAACCAAGGTAAAAAAGAATGATCCCCCCCTTTTCTTTTCTTTTCTTTTCTTTTCTTTTCTTTTCGTTCTTTGGATGTTACCATGGCCTTTGGCTAGCGCAATAAAACCCAATAAGTTAACAAAACTAGCTAAAGCAATGCCCCAAACTTGCAAAGTGTTTTTACTGAAACTTCATTGGTGCACTTCTGTTATATTATTAGAATATTACACAAGCCTATAGTAGTTACCCAGCTTCCTAGGTATCCCACCTAGATATCCTGGGGAGCGGGGGCACATGAAGAAGGGCCTCAGGGGATCATTGCAGGGTCCAGGTTGGTTCATATGGGGAGAGGCAGCCCTTGACCCTTTGCAGTCCTGAGCCGTTTAAGGTTTTATAGGTCAGAACCAGCACTTTGAAGTGGACCCAGAAACTCATGGGCAGCCAGTGCAGTCAGATAAAGGATAAAGTACACTATGCTCTAACCGTCTCGCCCTGGTGAGCAACCTGGCTGTCAAATTTTGCACCAGCAAAATTTTCCAAACTGTCTTCAGAGGCAGCCCCATGCACAACTTGTTGCAGTAATCTAACCTTGAGGTTACCAGAGTATAGATAGCAGAAGTTAGTCTATCCCTGTCCTGATTAGGGGAGCAGCAGGGCCACCAGCCAGAAATGATGGAAGGCACTGCATGCTGCCGAGGCCACCTGAGCCTCAAGCAGGGCCGGATTTAGGTTTGATGAGGCCCTAAGCTCCTGAAGGTAATGGGGCCCTTTATAGGTCCAGCTGTCCTTTGTCAACAACAAATTGTCTCTGTTTTTTGTGTTGAATATATGCTATATGGTAATTTATGGACCTAGTAGGTATCTAAAGCCATTTGCACATAACAAAATATGTATTTTATCAAAGTAACTGTTGAACTGAAATACAATTGAGAAGTATATTAATAGTGAAATACAATTAAGAAGAAGTACGGTATATTAATAGTGAAATAATTATTAAGCTCTAACTTAAAGTGATTTTTTATTCATAACAAACTTAATAATGCAAGCACATTGGCATTTGGCAATAACAACAGTTTTATTTTATTTGTTTTTTATCTTGTAGTTTGGAAATGTACATCCAGGGTTTTTTTCCCCTTTAAATTTTTTGGGGGTACCCAAGAGAGTGGGGCCATAAGTTATAGCTTGTTTAGCTTATATGTAAACTGGCCTCAAGCGACAGCAAAGGATCCAGAAGAACTCCCAAGCTACATACCCACTCCTTCCAAAGAAGTATAATCCCATCAAGAGCAGGCCACCTCCCTCCCATCCATCCAGTCCAGGGAATCACCCACTACTAGTGCCTTAGTCCTATCTGGACTGAGCTTCAGTGTATTGGCTCTCATCCAGTTCCATGACAGAGGCAAAACAATAGTCCAGCATATCCACTGCCTCACCTACATATGTAAAAGAGAAGCAGAAGGGTGGATGAGCCCAAACAGAAGGGTGGATGAGCCCTAAGGCAGGCACAGGCAAACTCGCCCCTCCAGATGTTTTGAGACTACAATTCCCATCATCCCTGACCACTGGGCCTGTTAGCTAGGGATGGTGGGAGTTGTAGTCCCAAAACATCTGGAGGGGCGAGTTTGCCTATGCCTGACCTAAGACTATACAGATATGTTTACTCACCTGGGACTGAGAACAAGCCTCACCGAACTCAGTGAGATAGACATATAGAGGACTGCACTGTAACTTTTTGCAGAATCCAATTCCTTGCTTTCCAGAATAAGCAAATCCTGAAGCCTGAGAACCTCAGGATGTCTCGTGTACTAGATTCCAAATTCAGTTGTTGCTTGGTGGTGTGTTTGCTTAAGCATCTTTGTTGAGTGCTATCCTTAAAGGTGGTTATTCCCCACCCCTCCCACAACAGCAATATTTAATCAAAGTAGCAAAGCTGAGTCGTGGAGCTGTCGAAATGATTGGGGACTTGCTCAATGAAGATGCTGGCTATTACCAGTCGTTCATTGAAAGTATGAGAGGTGAAATGATCTTCTCTTCTGGAAAGAGGTAAGCAGAAATACGCATTGCAAGGAAATAGGGAGGATTTATTCTTGCTGAAGTAAATAATCTGCTCTTCTTCAGATGAGATTGCATTTTGGTTCATTTCCAAAACTAGGACTGTAGGAACATCTTGGGACCACAATACCTTAGGAATGCCTCTCCCCATACGAACTGACCTGGACCCTGAGCTTGTAATCCGACACCTTTATGTCCCCCGTCCCCCCAAGAGGTTTGGAGGATGGCAACACAAGAACAGGCCTTTTCGGTGGTGGCTCCCCGTCTGTGGAATGCTCTCCCCAGAGAGGCTTGCCTGGTGCCATTATCATGGGTGTAGCTAAGGGGGGGCAGCACCCCACCAATAAATAAAAATCTATAAAAATGGATAGCAAGCTGGGGTTCTGCCTCCCCACGCCAACAAAAGCCCTGCCCCACCCCCAACAAAAATCTTGGCTATACCTGTGGCCATTATTACATATCTTTAGGCACCAAACAAAAACATTCCTCTTTATTCAGGCCTTTAGCCATTAAATAATCGATGATTTGTTAAAGGGGTGGGTGGGTGGACTGTTATTATGATTATTTTATTATGCAGTCCAGTATTATGCTCTGCATTTTATTATTTTGTTCTTAATGTTGTAAATGTTGTTCTTAATGTTGTACACCGCCCCGGGATCTTTGAATAATGGTTGGTACCTCGGGTTAAGTACTTAATTCGTTCCAAAGGTCCGTTCTTAACCCAAAACTGTTCTTAACCTGAAGCACCACTTTAGCTAATGGGGCCTCCTGCTGCCGTTGTGCTGCCAGAGCACGATTTCCGTTCTCATCCTGAAGCAAAGTTCTTAACCCGAGGTACTATTTCTGGGTTAACGGAGTCTGTAACCTGAAGCGTATGTATCCCGAGATACCACTGTAAATCAAATTGATGATAGATAAATAAACAAATAACATATGCTCCCTCTCCCTACAACAAAGTCAACATAAAGATGTAAGAGTCCAGCTGGCTCTTGCGAAAGTTCCATCTAGACCAGATGCCTATGGGAAGCCTGCAAGCCAGACCTAAGCTCAATAGCCACTCTCCCCACTTGTGATACCCAGCATGCATAGAATCATAGATTGCAGAGTTGGAAGGGACCCTGAGGAACATCTAGTCCAACCCCCTGCAATGCAGAAACATGCCACTGTCCCATGCGGGGATCAAACCTGTAACCTTGGCGTTTTCAGCACCACATTCTAACCAAGTGAGCTATCCCCTTGGATAATATATCCACAATAACTAAAAGCCGTTGATTATCTTCCGTGAACTTGTCTAATCCTCTTTCAAAGTTGGTGGCCATCTCCACACCTTGTCGGCGCGAATTCCAGAGTGTTAACTATGTTCTGGGTTCAGAAATGCTTCCGTTTGTGTGTGCTGAACTGAGCAGCAACTGAGCAACACACGACAGTAGGCTCTTCCATCTTCTATCCATTCATCTGCATTTGTTTGTGTGGTTTTTTTTGCAGGTTTGATCAAATCACAGGAGGCTTTGATCAGCTGCCAATTGCCATTTACAGAAGCATTTCAGAAAGGGTGCATTTCGGTACTAGGGTGGTCAGGATGGAGCAGGCAGGCGAGAGCGTAACCGCGGTTTATCAAACCGCCAACAAAGCACTGTTCAGCGTGACGGCCGATTACGCCGTGGTCACCTCCACCGCCAAGGCCACGAGGCGCATCCATTTTGAGCCGCCCCTGTCGCGTGACAAAAGCCATGCCTTGCGGTCCATCCACTACAGGAGCGTCACTAAAGTCTTCCTCGCTTGCGCCGAGAAGTTCTGGGAAGCTGATGGGATCCGCGGCGGGAAGTCCACAACTGATCGCCCGGCCCGATTCGTCTACTACCTCACTCAAAACTTTTCCAGCAGCATTGGGGTTGTCTTGGCTAGCTACGTCCACAGTGACGACTCCCGTTTCTTTCAGGCCCTCAGCCATGATGACATCATTAGCATCGCCCTGGATGACCTGTCTGCCATCCACCAGCTGCCCAAGGGGTACATGCAGTCTGTGTGCCAGTCATCCGTAATAAAGAGATGGAGCTTGGATAAATATTCCATGGCTGGCTTTGCTGCCTTCACCCCCTACCAGTTTGTTGATTACAGCGAACCTCTCGAGGAGCCAGAAGGCAGGATCCATTTTGCTGGGGAACACACTACCAAACTCCACGGCTGGCTGGACTCCGCAATCATGTCAGGGCTGAGGGCAGCAAGAGAAATCAACTTCGCAGCTGGGAAGTGGTCGCCCAGGAACCAGCCAAATAACAAAGAGGAACTTTAAACAGGCACTCTGCAAAAGGAGAAAAGATCATTTGAAGGAATACAGTGGTACCTCGGGTTACATACGCTTCAGGTTACATACGCTTCAGGTTACACACTCTGCTAACCCAGAAATAGTGCTTCAGGTTAAGAACTTTGCTTCAGGATAAGAACAAAAAATCAGGCTCCGGCGGCACGGCGGCAGCAGGAGGCCCCATTAGCTAAAGTGGTGCTTCAGGTTAAGAATAGTTTCAGGTTAAGAACGGACCTCCGGGACGAATTCAGTACTTGACCCGAGGTACCACTGTATCTTGACATACGGGAGTTTTGAATCGGGACAAGTCAAAATATTGCAATGAGTTTGGGGAGAAAGAAGTAGGCTGGATGCAAGATCCTTCTAACTGCTGGATCCAGGAAGTGTTAAAATATAAGCCAGGGTAATGGGTCATTAGGAGAACAAGGGGGGCTCTGAGCAAGACAGAAAATGTGTAGAAGAACAACAACAACCAAAGCCAGAGTTTTTCAAGTGATGTGACCTAGAAGTAAGCTGGAGAGTCGGAGCAAGGCTTGAAAGCAAGGTTTGATTTCTGTTTGAATCCAAGGCTACGGCTATGAAAGAAACAAGGCCCTCTTAGGGTGTCAATGTTGTGAGCCCCTCTGTAGTATAGATCTGCAAATAAACCATAGATGATGAAGACACCACTGTCTCTGCTGTGCCTCATTCCAAAAGGAAACACAAACCCTGGGTAAGCGCCTCAAACTCCTGTAATCTGTGGGTTCTTGGGGTGGTGTGCAACAAAATCTAACAGCATTTCTAGATGGCAGACAAAAATGCAAAAGAAAATTAAAAATCATGACCCAATGCCAGTAGTACCATGTTGTTGTTTTCCATTCTGTACCCTATATCTTTTCCTTCCTTTCCCGATTATACTGTGAAGGGGAAACCTGATGGACAGCAAGGCTGGAATTTATAATACAGGGATGCAGAGTGGGGAAATTTACATTTCTCCACATAGAAGGAATTGAAATGGGAGGAATATGGAATTTTGAAAAGATTTGTTCATTTATTTTGCCAGCACCATCTTCACTCATTTCTTCTTGTGTACTTACAGTACAATGGGAAGTAATTAATCTTTCAATAAATAAAAAAATAAAAAGCCTTTTTTGCAGACCATAAGCAATTAATGTTATTTCTGGGATATCCCCTCTCCCCATTTCGTTTTTATGTTATTTCCTTACTTTTGAAGGAAGATTTTTTAAAAAAATAAATCTGGAAAAAAGTGAGACAGATTTCCAGCACTGAACTAATATCAAAATTATGTCAAATCACACAGGAAGTTTCTGCATATATCCCCCCCCCATTTAATATGGATTATTTCATTAAACAACTTACAATGGAGCATTCCAACGCAAAGCTTTTGAAAGCAAAAGTAACCTGTTTCCAAGCATATTGCACACCTTGCGAAAGGTTTATCCAGTTGAATTTGAAGGCAAATCTTTTCAAAAGAAGTGTTCCCTGACCGGGAATCGAACCCGGGCCGCGGCGGTGAGAGCGCCGAATCCTAACCACTAGACCACCAGGGAAGCTGTGGTAGGATTGTCAGAAAGCTAGCTATTATCACTACTATTTCCTTCTGTAGTTCGTAATACAAGGAAGTCTTCAGTTCTGTGCATAGCGTGCCTCCTTCTCAAATAAATTCATCTGCATGTCAAAAACCGCAAGCATCGCGCGCGCGCACAGCTCTGCCGATGGTTCTCCATTGAAGTTTCCCTTCTACCTAGAGAAATTGCCTTCTGCAGAAAACCTGAGCACTTTTAAAAAAACTCTTCCGAATAAAGATAAGGAAGCGCCGGCGCTTCTCGTGCAAGTTCTGCAAGCATCTAATTTTACGTCTGCACTGCGGGATGCCTCCTTTGTGGGCGGATGCAAAGAACCCGGAGCTTTATTTCTTTTACATAGGGTTGGGTGGGGAGAGAAAGTTTTTTTCCACCCTCCTTGGGGAAAATGGTGCTCACCAGCTAATTTCCCTAATTTTGATTCCCCGACAGAGCTTAGGCTGCAATCCTTGCTCACTTAGGCGGGAGTCAAGTCCTACTGCACCCCGAGGGGCTTAGCAGATCTTCTAAGCAGACACGTGCCCACGATGATACTGCTAAAACTCAGCGCGATCCCACGATCAGAAAATCTCCAGAGTCTTCAGGTCTTGCCCAGCGCTGCCTGCAGATGCATCTTGCAAGTGCTCACTTGCTTCTCGCCATCAGCCCCACGAGAACAAAATGCGCAGGCGCCGTAGGATTTGCCCCAGCAAAGGAGCGAACCCAGGTAGCGCCTTTGGAATGTAAAGGAAGCTTCCGATTGGTCCCGCATTCAGCCAATCGCGGAAGAAGCCTCATGGAGAGCATCCCGCGCGCAGGGTGGCGTTCGAAAATCTTGGTGTGTAAGGAGATCGCAGCCCTACTTAGAGGAGTCTGTAACCTGAAGCGTTTGTAACCTGAGGCATTTGTAACTCGAGGTCCCACTGTAGTTGTCATTTCTGTGACTGAGGCAGTGAGAGATTTTACTTTCTTGGGCTCCATGATCACTGCAGATGCTGACAGCAGCCACGAAATTAAAAGACGCCTGCTTCTTGGGAGAAAGGCGATGACAAACCTAGACAGCATCTTAAAAAGCAGAGACATCACCTTGCCGACAAAGGTCCGTATAGTAAAAGCTATGGTTTTCCCAGGAGTGATGTATGGAAGTGAGAGCTGGACCATAAAGAAGGCTGATCGCCGAAGAATGGATGCTTTTGAATTATGGTGCTGGAGGAGACTCTTGAGAGTCCCATGGACTGCAAGAAGATCAAACCTCTCCATTCTGAAGGAAATCAGCCCTGAGTGCTCACTGGAAGGACAGATCCTGAAGCTGAGGCTCCAATACTTTGGCCACCTCATGAGAAGAAAAGACTCCCTGGAAAAGACCCTGATGTTGGGAAAGATGGAGGGCACAAGGAGAAGGGGATGACAGACGATGAGATGGCTGGACCGTGTTCTTGAAGCTACCAGCATGAGTTTGACCAAACTGCGGGAGGCAGTGGAAGGACTGCATGCAACGCTTTGGGCCATGCTGTAAGATCTGGACTCCCTCCATGCAGATTGAGGGTGTAAATAGGCGAATAAACCCTATTTCTTAAAGCACGACGGCCTCCACCGTTTTTTCTGTTCTTCATGGCTTGGCAGAGAGAGGGACGGGTGCTGGGCATTTATAACAATATTATGAACCTTGGAAAAGTGGTAGTGTATGTGGGTCCCTTCAAAGGTCCTTTTACTGGACTTTTATGATTATTTGTGCTCATGACGGTATTGGGGTGCTTATACATGATCCCAATTTCAATACTGCAAAAGGTTTTGGGGTGGGCTTGCTGCTTTGTTTCCAATCAGTGCTTGTCTCATAGCTTCCTGCTGAAGTCCTTTTACTTCTCTTATCACACATGTTCTGGGTTTTGTTTCTTTGTTTGGTCCACCTTTTATTGCAAGGGGAAAAAATGGCACCCTAAAATTAAATTATGCTTAGGCAAACTGTTTCTGCTGCTGCCAGTTGCTTTCTGTTTGCGTTTATCCTGGATTACCACTGGATTCCAAATATAATATATTATCTCACCATTTCCCCCCTCTTCAATTGCCTTCCCAGGAAGTTATTTATGCAATGCGGATTTTGCGAATATTTTCCTCAGCGCTGACAAGACACCCCGATTCCTTAGGCTGTATATGAAAGGGCTCATCATGGCAGGCACGATGGTAATAAATATTGAGTTGATCATCGCCTTTTGTGCTGAATAGGAGGATACTGGTGTCATATATGTCAAAATGGCCGCTCCATAGAAGAGTCCCACCACACACAGATGGGATAGGCATGTCCCCAAGGCTTTGTGGCCACTTCTGGTGGAGCGTGCCCTCAAGATTTGCAGGAGGATTGCAATGTAGGAAGCGAGGATGACAGAGAGAGGGAGCAGGAGTATCAGGAAGGTACCAAGGAAGGTTACTGTTATGTACTGAGTTGAATAGGATTCAAACTGCAGCAGTCTAATTGGTCCTAGAACAATAGGATCCAAAAGGCAGCAGTCTGATTGGTCCTAGAACAATGCAGCAGTATGATTGGTTGGCAGGAACCACCCAATCATGCTCCAGATAGAAGTGAATCCACAACCTGATTGGCTTACAGTAGAATTCCGGAATTAGCCAATCATGTGCAGCCCATTGTGTAAATAATGTATATAAAGCAGATACTCTGAGGGGACTTTCATTCATTCCTCCTCACCACTATGAGCTGAATAAAGAGCATGAAATCACTTTGCGACTCTGAGTATATTTCAGTTACTATTTCATATTTGGAATTGTCTGAGCAGGACAACTTTATAAGGGCTGGATATTCACAGAGGTTATGGTAAATTACATTTGACTTTCGGTAGGGAAGAGGCAGTACATACAGGGAACTTGTCATGGCCTGGACAAAAGGCCAGAACCAGACGAAAGCTGACAAGATGTAGCAAACTTTCCTCCTCATCAGAACTTGGTATTGCAAAGGTCTGCAGATAGCCACGTACCAGTCATATGACATGGTAGCAAGGATGAGGCATTCTGACCCCCCCACAGCCAGTGTGACAAAAATCTGGACGACTCACATCCGTAGAGTGAAATGGTGTACCTCTGGGTTATGAAGTTCACGGTCATTTTGGGAACGATGGAGAGAACCTGGCAGAGGTCCATGACAGACAACTGGCTGAGGAAGAAGTACATTGGGGTCTGGAGACCAGAGTCCGTCCTGATCAGGAAAAGAAGGAGGCTGTTTCCAATCAGGGCGATGACAAACATGAAGAGAACCAGACCAAGGAAAACCATGGGTGATTTTTGATGCAGAAGTCCAACAAGAACAAACTCTGTCTATGATGTTGAGTTCTCTCCCATTGCTCTTCCTATTGCCTGGATTTTATCTAAGACACAAGGAGAGAAGTTGTGGAAGTCATGCAGTCCAGTGCCATATTACAGATCATCACCATTTTAACAGTAGGGAAACGAAACAAAACAAAACCCAGCATTTTAAAACTAATGATGCCCCATGCAACGTGGTGCAACAGCTTGCACATCATGTCAGCAACAGGGATCCACTGGTGGATATTGGCTTCCCTGTATCTGATCTGCCATAATGGGGAAGGGTGCAGAATAATATGGAGTTGGGAGCAGGAATATGCACTAAAAGCTTGACTGCAGACTTGGCACAGATAGACGCATGTTTAGCACATCTCTTTGGTGATGTCTCTGCACTCTTACTCTGATCAGTACTTGATTCTGTTTGAGATGGGATCTCAGGGGAGCCCTTCATGGAGTTTATTGACCTGATGGGAGAAGAAGCAGGGAGGAACGAGGAACTTGGAGTTTATGTGACTGCTGTATTCCCAGCACCCAGAAGGAGATCCATCCTTTCCTGAGCTGATCTGGGCTGGGAGAAACTCCTGCTTCCCAAAGCCAGCTAGTTCTCATAACACTGTCATTATTGCACAGACACTCCACTTTCTTCCATGCTAAAGGCACTTCTCTGGTTTGAGGCTCATGCTGTTTCTAGCTTGCTTAAGCAGCGGAGGGGAAATATCTGCTGAAATGGAAACAAACAACATTGGGGTTATTTTGCAAATTAGCTAGACTCATCAGCTGTTAGCTGCCAACAGCAGAGCAAACTGCAGGGTCTTTATAAAGTTATCGTGCTGTTGACTCATGTGCTTTCCTACCGACAATCTGTATATTTATAGGACCAGGACCATAGAAATGGGAAAATATTAGTTACATGAAATAAAAGACACCACTGCAATATGTAAATGTAATTGGTGCTGCATTGAGATTTGAGATCCTCCATATCAACCAATTGAAAGGAATATACTCATCTCACCTACATTTAAAGTATCAAGCATGAAGGACATGACTGTGAACAAGATTAACCATGACAGCTATAAATTCAGAAAATGTATGCATTTGCTTGTCTGCTTGATTGCATTTGTCTGCTGTGATTCACTTGCAATTTACAATAAAAATATAAATGAGGTTATCATCAGTCAATAGTACAGAATACTAAATTATAAACAACTTCTACAATAGATAAAAGTCACATACCTAAATTGCTTAAACTGGTCTCGGATGAAAAGCTTTGATGAGTCTACTGATTGAATTACATCTTGCTCAGAACTTGTACTGCAGCTTCCCAAATTATCCACTGAGATGCAGTTTTATTGGGGTAAAAATGCAAAATGTTTAAAATCAGTGGCCAATCATTCTGAATTATCAGTGAGGGTTTTGTTTTGTTTTAGTTTACATTTTGAAAGACTGGAATCTTTTTCTTGTCAAAACAATGGAAAAGAAAGACAATTGCCAATATGCACAGCCCGGGCTGGGAGAAATAAGAGTTTTCTTGATTTCTTTTCAGAGATTAAAATATTTTAAATCGCAAGCCCAGCAATCTTGCATAAAGTGCCCTTGCAGAAGCAATTAAGACTCCCAGAACTTTGGCTCTCTTTAAACGCACTGTTTTCTAGCACACATCTACAGCCTTATCTGCGAAATCTTTACATGGAACCCCCTGGTTCACTCTCTGCCGTGGAAGAAAGTAAAAGTTGCGTTTTCATTTTGTTACATCCAAATCAGGCGCGGAGCTTTCGTCACCCAGGTATCCTTCTGTCTAAAGCCTCCAAGGAGAATTTGACAGTCCTCTTCACTTTTAGGAAATTTATCCCTAGACCTTAATTAAGGTTCAGTTAGAAAAGCAGAAATTTGCCTCCCATGAATGCTTGGACAAAGTTTTACTTTATTTTTCTGTGATTTCCCCTTTTGATATTTCTGTCCATTCCTCTCCATATCACCTGGTGGTGAGGTGTAGCTAATGTGGCAGAAGATAGAATTCAAGATGACCTTAACAGGCTAGAGAACTGGACCAAAAATAACAAAATGAATTTCACCAGCGACAAATGTATGGTTCTGCACTTAGGCAGGAATAATCAGATGCACAAATATAGGATGGGGGACATCTGAAAAGGATCTATGGGTCTCCACTTAACACAAGTAAACAGTGTGGTACAGGAGCAAAAAATGCTATTGTAATTCTAGGTTCCATCACCGTAAGTATAATGCCCACTTTCAGCTTTTTAATATCTGTTTGAAAAGCCTGGTGTGTACTATGGTTGATACAAAAACATAGAGAAACTTCAAAGGAGGTCTAAGACCTCACACTAAATTCCTTTGCCAGCGTTTTTAAAGCACACAGGATTAATTCAGCAAGCAATTTGTACAGAAGCAAGATGGCGTTAGTTATGCCATATACAAACAGAATAAAGAAACGTTTCTGAGACCCCACACTATTAGACAGCATAAGGAAATCTTTGGTGTAATTCATAACTCACTTGACTACAAATTGGTAATGTTTGCAGATGATATTCTTTTGTTTATCACAAAACCTCACAATACTGTTCCATTGTTACTGCCAAAAACATCTATATATTGCATTATCTCTGGATATACTATAAAGGTAAAGGTAAAGGGACCTCTGACCATTAGGTCCAGTCGTGACTGACTCTGGGGTTGCGGCGCTCATCTCGCTTTATTGGCCGAGGGAGCCGGCGTACAGCTTCTGCGTCATGTGGCCAGCATGACTAAGCCGCTTCTGGCGAACCAGAGCAGTGCACGGAAACGCCGTTTACCTTCCCGCCAGAGCAGTACCTATTTATCTACTTGCACTTTGACGTGCTTTCGAACTGCTAGGTTGGCAGGAGCAGGGACCGAGAAACGGGAGCTCACCCTGTCGCGGGGATTCGAACCGCCGACCTTCTGATCGGCAAGTCCTAGGCTCTGTGGTTTAACCCACAGCACCACCCGCGTCCCTTATCACTCCTAACTTTTACTCAAATAAGGCGGTGTGTTCCTATGCTTTCACACATCTACTCAAGCGATAAAGCCACATCCCAACCACCCCTTAGGCATGCACGAGATATGCCCTGCTCAAGCTTGCTGAGGTGTCCTGATAAACCATCGCCTAACAGCAATCCGCCCTGTTTTTGGGCATTCTAACCACAAGCCAGTAAAGATAAGCCTCTAAGTGAGTCTGTGGTTTCTGATCAGCAAGTCCTAGGCTGATCGGTAAGTCCTAGGCTCTGTGGTTTAACCCACAGCACCACCCGCGCTGGTCCAAATTGGAGTTGATGTTAATAGGAAATAACTTGTTGGTTTAACCGTTTAAACAATACCAATTTCATATTTGCATAAAGGTAAAGGGACTCCTGACCGTTAAGTCCAGTGGCGGACTACTCTGGGGTTGATCTCAATTTCGACCACACAGTGGGAAACTGTTTTAAGTACTATAACAAGGGCATCTCTGGAGGTTCATACAACAAAAAATAATATTTAGAATATACTGGATCCCATTATGTTTGTTTAAAAAAGGGCTGTCTAAGGTATCTAACTGTTGAAGATACAATAGGGATAATGCTTCTCTAAAACACATGTTTTTTCATTGTCCTGTATTGAAAGATTTTTGGCAGAAGGTAACCGAAACTATCAATAGAACTGTACAGAACAACCTTACATTTACAGAGCAAAATATCCTTTTGAATTATATGCCCAGCACATGGAACCTTCCAAAAGGACAATATGAGTGGACTCTCCATGCCCTTACTACGGCACAAAGACTGATACTGAGGATTTGGAAAAATAAAAATGTGGCTCCATTCTTCGATTGGATTGAAGACTTATACAAACTCGAAACATATGAGCAACTTGCATATAAACACAGACTTGCCATGGACAAATTCAATGATATTTGGAATCCATTCTTACAAATATTTTAATAGGTTAAGATCTGGTGAAGTACAATAACAACTTTGTAAAGTACAGTGGTACCTCGAGTTACATATGCTTCAGGTTACATATGCTTCATGTTACAGACTCCGCTAACCCAGAAATAGTGCTTCAGGTTAAGAACTTTGCTTCAGGATGAGAAGAGAAATCATGCTCCGGCAGCGCGGCAGCAGCGGGAGGCCTCATTAGCTAAAGTGGTGCTTCAGGTTAAGAACAGTTTCAGGTTAAGTACGGACCTCCGGAACAAATTAAGTACTTAACCCGAGGTATCACTGTATACAGTTTTGGGGTCCCCCTCCCCGTCTTTACTTTCCCTTCTACATGGGTGCTGTTTCTCTTTTTCTTTCTCTCTCTTTTATTTACGACTCACCACGTTTAGTGCACATATAATTATGTACTTTTCAATAAAGATGTCTGGGAAAAAAGAAGTATAGTGTCCAGATCGAGGGAAGTAAAAGTCCCACTCAATTCTGCCTTGGTCAGACCACATCTGGAATCCTGTGTCCTTTTCTGACCGCCACAATTTAAGACGGATTTCAACAATGTGGAAAGTGTTCAGAGGAGGCCGACCAAGATGATCAAAGGGTCTGGAAACTAAGCTGTGAGAGCCAGCCGTCACAAATGGCGCAGTTTAGCATAAAATAAAGACACAGAGAGCCAGCAATATTTTCAGGATGGTATGAGCAGTTCCTTTCGAACTTCTCTTCTCTCCCGTAACTTTTATAATCCTTTGTTCTCTCCTCTCGCATGGCCGTTTGCCAATGTCTCACATTACCTACATCCGGTCATGGCTTAAACCCACCCATCGCCATATAGGGTTATTACTGCCCAGAGGGGGAACATAACTCCATATAAGGCTATGCACTTAATACACTGCAAGGCACGGTATGCAGGTCACTGAGGTCAGCGAGGCACCAGGTGGCGCTACAAGCCTTTTTCATGACTTCCTGGCTCCCACATGCCCTCTTTCTTTATTTTATATGAGAGTCATATATGTCATTACCAATACGGTTATATCGAGCGCGATAGGCGAGTCTTGTGAGAACCATGCAGTACATATAGAAATTAAGGAAGGAATACATTGGATACAGCAACACAAAATAATGCAAATAACTACTATAATGATCACTAAAATCAATAAATGTCGAAGCCAACTTCCATCCGGAAGCCAAGAATATAAGAATTCTGATTCCAAGCTGCATGGTAGGCTTCCTTTCTAGTTTATTAGCCATGCACTGGTGCCACTCCTATAGCACTGAGATTGGTCACTGTATGTTCCTATAAGAGAACAAGAGCTATTAAAAGTGAAATTCAATGTATATTGACAGTTTGGATATATGCCCCATGATTCTTTCCCCTCTTTAATTTGAAAACAAATGGGGGCAGGCTCATGGAGGGTCAATTCTACTGGAGGCCAAAAAGTTTGCTTAGGGGATATAATATTAGTAAATTGAAAAGATCCATTGACAGGCACACCATGAAGCATTATGCCGGAATGACTGGCAAAAGGCGCCATGTGCATACACACCCAACATTTAGAAGCATGCAATAAACTGGCAAACATAATCATATCTTGTACAAAAATATTATCCCTCCATATCTTATGATAATTTTCTCCCCTAAAAGTCTTATTCAACAATACTGTTCTTCTAGTTCGAGAGTGGCTGAGCCGTGGATACTGCCAGCCAGAGTAGGAAGCTGACAACAGCTGCTTGCCAGCCGATGAGGTGAAATATGGTGGTTTCAACTGGACTGGGTCGTCTGCTTCTCTTCCTTGTATAACGGTGCAGCAAAGGATGGCAAGGCAAATGATTAGGAAGGCAAACACTGCCAGATGCAGCTCATGTGCAGCACCTCTAGGTGGCACATGCAGAAAGGTTTCAATGCTTCACCCACAAAATGTTGACAAAGTGTAGGGGAGTTCCGCATGCCTTGAGGCAGGACAACCCACTGATATCGCTGGGTGGGCTGCGAATTGTTATATACTGGCAATGTAAAAGCAAACCGTTCCCTGTCTGCTGGAGCCAGTGGGATGAAGATGGTTCAATGTGGCTGAAAGTCAATTGTTCAGAAATAAGCTGTTCAGAAATAGCTGGTGCCGCTGCTGCGGATTTTTCTTTTGGTAGAGGCCACTGTTCTACCCAAACTGGGGTATCGGTGATCCTGGTTTGCCACACTGGAAACAAGTTGTATCGGTGGCTACAGGCTGGTTTTCATTTAGCGCTGCTGCCAGCAGATGAGCCTTGTGGGTGGCTGTACCTACAGACTGACAAATGTGAAGCATGGCTGCTGTGTCTGTGGCAGGATTGTGTATTATCGGTCGTAACGCAACCTTACAATCCTCATTGGCATTTTCAAAGGCCAATTGTTTGATAATTATTTGTTTGGCTTCAGGATTTTCAATTTGGCGACTCACTGCTGTAAGCAGCCTGTCCATAAAGGAAGAATATGATTCTCTTGCCTCTTGCCTGATTGAACCCCACCTTGATTGAATACTGGGTTCTGGGATTTTTCTCATTGCTTGTTTAGCAGCAAGAGCAGTGTCCCTCAATAAGATTTGCAGCAGTGTGGCTTGCACTGAAGCTTGAGCGAAGGGACCACGCCCCATCATGGCATCTATGACGTCTGCGAGGGTAACATTTGGATTATTTCCTCTGACTTGTTGTAACAAAGCTGGAGCATAAGCACGGCAGGCAGTTTCCCATTCGTGGGCAAACAAAACACCAGCTGATGGGGGTAACACTGTATGGGCCAAAAGCTTGATGTCCTCTGGAACCAAGAGCTGGGCTAATGTGGCTTCTAAAAGCGCCTGCGTATATGGGGCTTGGAGTCCATTGGCCTTTACTGACTGTTGCAGCTCTCTCAAGATCTTAAAGTCAAAAGGTTGGTGTTGGGCTTGGGTGCCTGCCGGGGCACCAGCAGGGGGCACAATAACAGGGAATGCCATAGTATCCTGAATTAAGGAACAGGCAAGGACTGCACGTTGAAAAGGGGTAGCTGGTTCTGCCGCTGAAAGAGCAGGGTCATTTCCAGCCAGACCACAGTATTTTTGCAGGATTGGGTCCTCTGGTGAGGAACTGTAGTCCGGAGGTTTGGGGTCTGGGGCTGCTGCTGGCAAGGCAAGTATCGGAACAGACGCTAACACAGCAGGCTGGACTAAGGAAGCTGGAGGTTGTGTTGGCAATGCACCCAGGGAGATATTTTTTGGTGATAAAGAGCCCATGGCGTAACGAACCTTGCACCATGCATTAAGAATCCGAAGACCAATGCTGGGGTGCCCATGAAAATGTGCCCCGATCTTGTCCCAATGTTTCAATTCCCAAGTCCCATCTGCAGGAAACCAGGGGGCCAGAATGAGCTGTATCAAATCACCCTCCGGAACTTCCAATTTGTTGGAGGAGAGGAGAAATTTTAAGTCTTTTAAAAATTTCTGTTGGGGAGTAGACAAAGAGCTGCCCATTTTTCTAAAATCAAGATAAAAAAAGGAATTGCACTCACCGGGATCTTTTTAAGATGTGAAGCGCTTGAAACCCTTGCCGGGCGTGGTGAGCCGATGATATCCGTTTCGTGGATCGAAAAACCTCACACGGTTTTCTTTTAAAAGCCTCAGACGTATTCTTTTAGTCAGCCTCACACGGGGCACCACTTGACGGAGCCAGCCATCACAAATGGCGCAGTTTAGCATAAAATAAAGACACAGAGAGCCAGCAATATTTTCAGGATGGTATGAGCAGCTCCTTTCGAACTTCTCTTCTCTCCCGTAACTTTTATTATCCTTTGTTCTCTCCTCTCGCATGGCCGTTTGCCAATGTCTCACATTACCTACATCTGGTCATGGCTTAAACCCACCCACAACCATATAGGGTCATTACTGCCCAGAGGGGGAACATAACTCCATATAAGGCTATGCACTTAATACACTGCAAGGCACGGACATGCAGGTCACTGAGGTCAGCGAGGCACCAGGTGGCGCTACAAGCCTTTTTCATGACTTCCTGGCTCCCACACTATGCCTTATGATGAATGGTTGAGGGAGTTGGGTCTGTTTAGCCTGGAGCAGAGAGATTGAGAGGTGATCTTTGTCACATGGAAGATGGAGCAAGCTTGTTTTCTGCTGCTCCAGAGGGCAAGACCCAAACCAATGGGTTTGAATTACAAGAAAGGAGAACTTTCTGACAGTAAGAGCTGTTTAACAGTGGAATGGACTACATTAGAAGGTAGTGTAGTCTCCTTCACTGGAGGTTTTTAAGCAGAGGTTGGATGGCCATCTGTCAGGAATTCTTAACTGTGACTTCTGCATTGCAGGGGTTGGACTCGATGACCCAAGGGGTACTTTCCAACTCTACAATGCTGTGATTCTAGGTGGGTGAGAAAGAAAAATAAGTGCATATGTTAATGACAGAAGTTCAGAAATGCCACCCGGAGTGGCTGGGGCAACCCAGTCAGATGGGCAGGGTACAAATATTAAATTATTATAATAATATAGAAATGGGCAAGTGGGGGGGGAGCTCCTTGTTTGGGGTTTACTTTATGGCAGTTTCCCGTATTCACACGTAAAATTCATTTGCTATTGTTGGGAGGACTGAGTAAATCCAAAACTTCTACACTTAATTACAAATTTCTACGTTATGTCTAAAACATATCATGGATATATCATTATTGAAAGGTTCAGCAATTAAGGGTTAACTTTTTATTTACTTTTTCAACTTACAGCCTTGGAGAATTACTTAAGTTCACACCACAGAGAATTAAAGTCGGAACAAACTCAATAAGTGATGCAATTAGATTTGTGTACTGACTTGAGTTTGGGCCATGTTCTTTCACAGGTGTGTAAGTCTTACTAATTGGATGTAAAGTATCCTGAGTATTATTTATCCATTTCTGCCTAGAGAGAGAGATATTTGTAATTAAGACCTCAGAAACATTTCTCTTAGTAATAGCAATGCCCTGGATGCAGAAGTGATAGAATCAATACAAAGTTGTTAATGATGAAAGCTGAATTTTGCAATGGAGATCCTGGAAACAGTGGGGCCTCCATTGGAATTTAGTAGCAAATAGACTTTGGATTTTTTCCTACCATGAGTTCCAGGGAAAGCTCAGCCTCCAACATCTTAATATGCCTGGAAGTATTCTATACCTTTACACAATTTTGTCTCTTAAGCCTGCATCCTGTTTCCTTTAGGTAAAAGGTAAAGGACCCCTGGACAATTAAGTCCAGTCAAAGGCGACTACGGGTTTCGAGTTTACATCTCGCTTTCAGGCCGAGGAAGCCGGCGTTTGTCCACAGACAGCTTTCCAGGTCACATGGCCAGCAGGACTAAACCACTTTTGGTGCATTGGAACACCGTGACGGAAACCAGAGCGCACAGAAACACCGTTTATCTTTCCCTGCAGTGGTAGCTATTTTCCTACTTGCATGCTTTTGAACTGCTAGGTTGGCAGGAGCTGAGACAGAGCAAATGGAGCTCGCCCCATTGCGGGGATTCGAACCGCTGACCTTCTGACCGGCAAGCCCAAGAGGCTCAGTGGTTTAGACCACAGCGCAACCCGCAGCAAGTGATATCCATATGCAAAAGCAGAGAAGCACTAAGTTGCCAAGCACCTGCTAATGAAAAATTATTCAAGTACATTTTGCTTGTGCTGTAATCCACGTTAATTAAAGTCTTGGGACAGTCTTCCCTTGGGTGATGCAGGCAGAGTTTCACTTTTTAAACCAGCTTAAAGTGCCCCTCACAGCAAAGCAATGAATAGAAGAGTTCAACCATCTTACCAGAGCAGGGCTGTAGATCGTTTTGAAGTTACACCGATGCAAAGATCAGAGACCACTTTTTGAGGAGCTGTGGTGATACTGGGTCATCTCAGTGCAATACTCAGGATTCACAGTGATACAGGTAAATATTTGATCCAACACTCCAGAACACAGCAGCAAAAAAGATCACTTAGACCACGGGTAGGCATACTAAGGCCCAGGGGCTGGATCCGTCCCAATCGCCTTCTAAACCTGACCCGCAGATAATCCGGGAATCAGCGTGTTTTTACATGAGTAGAATGTGTCCTTTTATTTAAAATGCATCTCTGGGTTATTTGTGGGGCATTGGAATTTGTTCATTTTTTCTCTCTTCAAAATATACAAGGTCTGAGGGACAGTGGACCGGCCCCCTGCTGAAAAAGTTTGCTGACCCCTGACTTAGACAAGTGTTTTACTTCTGTTTCCTCTAAATGGGTTTCTTCCCTAAACCTTCCTTGGAATTATTTTCATCTTGCATGTATTCTGTCAACATTATTGGGATAATAAACCTTTTGTGATGTTACAAATGCAACATTCAGTGTATTATTTCAATTCATTGACAATTATTGGGACATTCCAATGCATATCAGAATCTTATTTACTTGATGTAAATCCTTTCATTCATGCACCAGCGTTTTGAGAACCTGAAAGCAAGAATGAGTTGGGCAGTGATGACAGTGAAGTCCTAGACATGTTTACTCAGAGGTGAGCCCCACTAGGTTCAATGGAGCTTACTCCCAGGTAGGAAAGGGCAAATCTGTTGCTTTTGGATCTCAAAGTTTCTCGTTTTCCCAGTTTTAAATTCAGTTCTCCACATTTATGTAGCAATTTGTTACAATACCTCCTCCTGAAAATTCACCAGCATTTTAGCACAAATTTCTCCAGATTTTTGCACCCCCCCTAAAAAAAAAGGTTTGGGGTACTCTCATTTTCCTACTCTTATTGAAATACTGCCCCTCAATGAGGCCAAACTTAAATTCACAAAATGTTTAGGGGTATGCGTACCCCCAGAAAAAAGCACTGGTTTTGACTAATATGCAGATTTATGCAAACAATTTCCCCTAATATAATGCTTTTTCTATACTATTTAAACCAATATGCATTTCAAGGCAATTTCCCTTTAAAATATGCCATTTGAGATATGATTCAGGTGTGTGTGGGGGGGGGGGATGCTCTGCAAAATTCAAAGATGTGAATTTTGACAGATAGGTGTACTTTGGTTCACATATTGTTTCAGAAAGTCTGAATTAGGTAGTTTAAAATGCAAACAAAATCAAATTCCTCCTCTATCCCTACTCCCAGGTAAATGTGCACGGGATTATAGCTCAAATGCTGTGTTTATACCTTTGTTTTGCGAACATTCACATTTATTAGGCAATTAAAGATGTTTTCCTTCTGCCATTCACCTTGTGCAGGAGAAGAAATTATGTGATGCCATGGGAATACAAGACTACTGTTTGCAGAAGTTCAAGATCTTTTTCTCTCTAAAAACAGCAGCTAGTTACTAACATGTCTACCCAGGAGTAAGTTTGATGGAATTTAAAGTTAAGTGTTAGGACAGCAAGCCTAGCTTTATATCTTCTTCAAAAGAAGAATGTATGAATAAGCTTTTCCTTTTTTAAAATTTCCCAATTATTTCTTATTGATTTTTATAAAACAAATTAACAACAAATTAATTCAAATTTAAAACAAATTCAAATGTTGGCTTCCCACCCCCTTCCTGGTGTTTCTTTTCTCTCCTTCCTTTGCTGCTCATAATAATATAGGTAAAGGTAAAGGTAAAGGGACCCCTGACCATGAGGTCCAGTCGTGGCCGACTCTGGGGTTGCAGTGCTCATCTCGCTTTATTGGCCGAGGGAGCCGGCGTACAGCTTCCGGGTCATGTGGCCAGCATGACTAAGCCGCTTCTGGCGAACCAGAGCAGCGCATGGAAACACCGTTTACCTTCCCGCCAGAGCAGTACCTATTTATCTACTTGCACTTTGATGTGCTTTCGAACTGCTAGGTTGGCAGGAGCAGGGACCGAGCAATGGGAGCTCACCCCATCGCAGGGATTCAAACTGCTGACCTTCTGATCAGCAAGTCCTAGGCTCTGTGGTTTAACCCACAGCGCCACCTGCGTCCCACAAAAACATACTTTCCCCTAATTTCTATTCATTCCCCATCTTTCTGAATTTTCACTATCTGTGCCTGTTTTAATTCCAGCTTAGACTTTTGTTTAACTATAGCATGTCCCCAGTTATTCAAGTATTCTTCCTTTATCTATCCATATACATCGTGAAGGAGCTTTTCCTTTGAGTTTCGTACAAGGAGATAAAGCAGCTGACTGTGAAATGTGGAACAAGCAAGCAGCCTCCTGATGGTTTGGTCAAGGCAAGGCTGGTGTTGAGGGTTGACTGGGTTGGGCCAAGGCCCCTCATCCCAGCAGCAGGGGCTATTGACGCCTCCTGTTCATATCTGCAAACTGCTTGCTCACTTTCCTCTTGCTCTGCCACCCCAGAAGGAATGACTACCCAAACTACAACAGAGATGAGGAGGAGGAGGAGGAGCTGTCACTGCCTGCTTGCTCATTGGCTGCTTCTGACAAGCGAGCAGGGGGTGCCAGTTGCAAGGCAAAGGAGCAACACCACCTGCCAATAATTGTGGCGAGTGGGTCAGCTTCCCATAATATACACATTTTTGTGTGCGTCTTGGTTGGCTGAGGAACAATAGCCCCAAATTTGGAGAAGTTTGCATTTTGAAAGGTAACTCAGTTTGTGTATTGGTGCAACGAAATCTGACTTGATCTCCTTGAAATGGCATTCTTATGCCAGACTTTTGCCAGCACAAGACTTCCTCTCTGCATGCCCTCCCAAATCTATTCCAGAAGGTCGGGTAGGGAACCCAGAACAGAACACAATGAGGGGAGAGGAAGAAGAAATCCTGTTGCACAGGTGGAACTCCTTGCACAATCAGGATGATGATGATGATGATGATGATGATAATTTATTTGTACTCTGCCCATCTGGCTGGGTTTCCCCAGCCACTCTGGGCAGCTTCCACAAAGACCAAAAATACACTAATATGTCATACATTAAAAACTTCCCTGAACAGGGCTGCCTTCAGATGTCTTCTGAATGTCAGGTAGTTGTTTATTTCTTTGACATCTGATGGGAGGGCGTTCCACAGGGCGGGCGCCACTACCAAGAAGGCCCTCTGCCTGGTTCCCTGTAGCTTTGCTTCTCGCAATGAGGGAACCGCCAGAAGGCCCTCGGCGCTGGACCTCAGCGTCCGGGCAGAACGATGGGGGTGAAGACGCTCTTTCAGGTACAACCTCATTGGCTACAATCCTCTGAAATCAATGGCCCTTAAGTGGGCCTTCTCTGAGTATATACTTTTTCTATAAAGGTGACCGCAATTAGCAAAGATATTTCCTACATAAATTTCATTCAATTATGTTTAAAAAATAATAATTCAGTTGGGGTTTTATTGGGGTGTGTGTGTGGAGAAGCTGTCCATTTGTTGATGCTCGGTGAATTAGCCATTCGATAAAAGAAAAGAATGTGTAGAAACGTCTAGCATTTTGTGGCTTTGTTTCTCTTCCAATTGTCTCCTTGCATTTTCAGATCTCAGGAGGTCAGACGAAACGAGAAATGGGACATGGAAATGGAACATCACAGACAGAGTTTGTTCTCCTGGGCATTCTAAGCCAAACAAAGCTATCAACTATTTCGTTTGCTGTCTTCCTATCGATGTCCATGGCTGCTTTGCTAGGAAATAGTCTCCTCCTGGCTGTGATCCAGGTGGACTCAAGTCTTCAGACTCCAATGTATTTTTTCCTCAGTCAGTTGTCCTTCATGGATATGTGCCAAGTCCTCGTCATTGTTCCCAGAACAGCAATGGCTTTTGTAACAGAGTCCAAAACAATTTCTCTTGTTGGATGTGTGGCCCAGATTTTCCTTGTTCTGAACATAGGAGGAGCAGAGTGCCTCCTGTTGGCTGTCATGTCATATGACAGGTATGTGGCCATTTGCCGCCCTCTGCAATATGCAGTTCTCATGAGAAGAAAATTATGCTTGGTCATGTCAGCCAGTGTGTGGATTTCATCTTTCCATTATGCATTGATGAAAGCGATTTATTTACTAACTCTTTCATACTGTGGCTCAAACGTGATAAACCATTTTTTCTGTGAGTTCCACGTCCTGATAAAGTTGTCCTGTTCAGATACATCCATCTTTGAAACAGTGTCGTTATTAATTGGTAGCCATTTATTGCTTCTGTTCCCCTTCTCCATCATTGTGGCCTCCTACGTATCCATCCTTCTGCAGATTCTGAGGGCTAAGCGTGCAGCGGAAAGAAGCCACAAAGCACTGGGCACCTGTTCATCACACTTGTGTGTGGTAGCCATCTTCTATGGGTCGGCCATCTTGCGGCACCTAAGGCCAGCCTCCTCCTACTCAGCAGAGAGGAACCAGATTTTTGCTGCATTGTGCACAATTGTCACCTCGACTGTGAATCCTTTTATATACAGCCTGAGAAATCGGGATGTACTAGCAGCATTAGGGAAACTGTTCAGGAAACTGAAGGTACTTCCGTAAAAATATTGGAAGAGCCCTTCTGGATCATGTTGATATTTGGAGTTTTGGTGAAGGGACAGGATACCCAAATCCTGTCTGTGAAATCACCCCAGGCCTCAATAATCACCCCAGGCCTCAAAACTGTCCAAAATTCCGTTTCTCTCTTCTAAAAATCCACAGCTAAAGCTTTCCTCTGCTTTTCTCACAAGATGCTGTGCATAGGCAAAATGTTACTTTTACCAGTACAAGAGAGCTTCAAAAAGGCTAATGAATAGACTCTTGTCAGTGCCAAGCATAAGCAGGCCTGGGAACTGAATCTTATCTCATTCGGTTGTAACATCTTGAACATGCTGAACGCAAGGCTTCTCATCCCCCTTTCCTGGGAAGGGTGCCAAGAGTCCAAAAAGAGTCCCAAGACAAGAGCTTTCTGTTCATGCTCAGGAAACCCAACATGGGGCAGGACTCCTGAAGAGGAGGAGAAAGGGGAGGGAACTGGAGGGGAATATATGCTCTGTGCAAATGACTGTGAACCCTTGCTTGTTTGTGAGTTATCACACTTGCTCCTTCTACCAGTTCATGGATGGTAGAAATAAAGCTTTTCTCTGAAACTATTCCTTGAGTGTCTGTTGACTCCCATTTCCCTCTCCCTGGTGCAATACTTTTTCCCACCCGAGGGCAAAGCCTCATAAGGCTACATTGGAAATTGCAAAACAATAAGAATAATTAGCTATGCACCTATGTTTTCTATCAGTAAACACAATTAAAAACACAGCAATCATAATCGTAGATGACTTGCTGTAAATACAGGGACTAAAACTTTATTAGCATTTATGGGTATATATTTCCATGATGATTGTTCCTAGTGCAACCCCACACCCCAGCTATCTAGAAAGAAAGTCGTAGTATTATCATTACCCTTTCAAGTTTTAATGGCAGTACTCCAGATAAGTTCTATATTGTGTCATTGTCCTATCTACAGTGGAACTTTTCACACACTGCCTGAAAAGTGTTTAGGAAGCTGAGACCATATTTCATGGTGTGGCGTTTGTACGGAGCCCCCGGTCGGCTCACGGACTATTGACCCGTACACCACTAATCCGCTGCCACCAACCAGGTCCTCCCCAGTAAATCACTTAGTCTCAGTCAGTTCTCAAGTCAACAACGAAGATTGTAGTTTATTGCAAACACAAAATAAACTTTAATTGTATTCTAAACAGGCGAAGTCCCAGCAGACTGGAGGAGGGCAAATGTTGTCCCTATTTTCAAAAAGGGGAAAAGAGAGGACCCAAATAATTATTGCCCAGTCAGTCTGACATCAATACCAGGGAAGATTCTGGAGCAGATCATTAAGCAAACAGTCTGTGAGCACCTAGAAAGGAATGCGGTGATCACCAATAGTCAGCATGGATTTCTGAAAAATAAGTCATGTCAGACTAACCTGATCTCATTTTTTGACAGAATTACAAGCCTGGTAGATGAAGGGAACACAGTGGATGTAGCCTACCTTGATTTCAGCAAGGCATTCGACAAGGTGCCTCATGATATTCTTGTAAAGAAGCTGGTAAAATGCGGTCTTGACTATGCTACCACTCAGTGGATTTGTAACTGGCTAACTGACCGAACCCAAAGGGTGCTCATCAATGGTTCCTCTTCATCCTGGAGAAGAGTGACTAGTGGGGTGCCACAGGGTTCTGTCTCGGGCCCCGTCTTATTCAACATCTTTATCAACGACTTGGATGATGGACTTAAGGGCATCCTGATCAAATTTGCAGATGACACCAAACTGGGAGGGGTGGCTAACACCCCAGAGGACAGGATCATACTTCAAAACGACCTTGACAGATTAGAGAACTGGGCCAAAACAAACAAGATGAACTTTAACAGGGAGAAATGTAAAGTATTGCACTTGGGCAAAAAATGAGAGGCACAAATACAAGATGGGTGACACCTGGCTTGAGAGCAGTACATGTGAAAAGGATCTAGGAGTCTTGGTTGACCACAAACTTGACATGAGCCAACAGTGTGACGCGGCAGCTAAAAAAGCCAATGCAATTCTGGGCTGCATCAATAGGAGTATAGCATCTAGATCAAGGGAAGTAATAGTGCCACTGTATTCTGCTCTGGTCAGACCTCACCTGGAGTACTGTGTCCAGTTCTGGGCACCACAGTTCAAGAAGGACACTGACAAATTGGAACGTGTCCAGAGGAGGGCAACCAAAATGGTCAAAGGCCTGGAAACGATGCCTTATGAGGAACAGCTAAGGGAGCTGGGCATGTTTAGCCTGGAGAAGAGGAGGTTAAGGGGTGATATGATAGCCATGTTCAAATATATAAAAGGATGTCACATAGAGGAGGGAGAAAGGTTGTTTTCTGCTGCTCCAGAGAAGCGGACACGGAGCAATGGATCCAAACTACAAGAAAGAAGATTCCACCTAAACATTAGGAAGAACTTCCTGACAGTAAGAGCTGTTCGACAGTGGAATTTGCTGCCAAGGAGTGTGGTGGAGTCTCCTTCTTTGGAGGTCTTTAAGCAGAGGCTTGACAACCATATGTCAGGAGTACTCTGATGGTGTTTCCTGCTTGGCAGGGGGTTGGACTCGATGGCCCTTGTGGTCTATTCCAACTCTATGATTCTATGATTCTATGAAACGCTGTTACCCTTTTACCCTCCTAGTCTTATTTTATCCTGTCTCTAACTCTTCTACCTCCCCTCACACAAGAACCAACTGCACTAACTGTCTCTCTATTTCCAACTGTCTGCCAACTGCTTTCCCAACCGCTCCTTCCCAGTGCTTCTTCCCAACTGTCTAAACCTCTGGCTAAGCCCTTTTAAAAACAGGTAGGCTCCGCCTTTGGCTTTTCTATTAGTCTACCTATTAACTCTTTCTCTCCCCCTGTGCAGACATTTCCAAAAGAACGGGCAAACGCCACACATGGAAACACCATCCTTTCTAGGCATGGGTCGCAGCGGTTTCTTGTTTTCCCTGGTACTTCCCTCCAGAAACTCACCCTTTAGTGCTACATCAGAGCAAAAGTCAATGCGGATAAAGCCCAATGGATGCTTGCTCTGATTCAGCAGTAAATAGAGAGCATAAAACCACAACAAAGACCATAAGAAGAGCCTGTTGCATCAGGCCAATGGCTTATATAGCCTAATGTCATGTTCACACAGTGGCCAACCTGATATCCATGGAAATCTCACGAGGAGGACCCAAGCAGAAGAGCAGAAAGGCAGTTTCCAGAAGCAACAGCCAACCTTGAAAGGTTGTGGAGCAGAGGTAATCTTAAATATGGGTATTGTGTTATGTTCTATGAACTGGACACTAAGGGCAATGTAAAGATCTTGTTCTTATGTAGCCTTATTGGAATTCACCGATTGGGTCAGCGTTGCTCCGGGACAGGAGGAAGGAAGTCAAACGACACCTGAGGTTGATTCAAAGAAAGAGTTTATTCTGCTCTCCGGATAGCAGAAGGCACTTGCATGATCAAGTCCACAGCAAGTCCAAAGAAATGACAAGTTTCATGCAGTATATATATCCTCCAGGCACCCTCTCCCTCCTTCCAACCACGTCAGCTTGTATACGTAGGTTGACATCCCATATGTTCCTGCTCCGGCACTCTTGACCATAAAAGGGATTTCCTTCCGGCACTCCTGACCATAAAAGGATATTCCTGTTCCTACTCCTATCTTGGAGCAAGAGGTCACTACTTCCGAGAACATGCTCTGGCGTTAGTCCCAGACTTGGGTCTCTGCGTCATTTGTGGTCAGGACATAAGATATGTCTGTGTCTGTTCTACTGGTAAAGTCAAGGCCAGTCTTGCCGTCAAACTGATAAGGGAGAGAGCTGTGTTCTTGTTTTGCATTTGCTCAACGGCTAAAGTTTATGCATTTTAGCTAAGGAGAAATGGGGATTTTGGTGCAGTTTAAAAACTGCCTGCACAGTCAGTTTTGGGTTTTGGAAACCCATTCCTTCACTTAGATTTATCTAAGATAAATAAAGACTAAATTTAATCAAGCACAATAAGTGGATATATACACCAGCTTTCCTGCAGACAAGTTAAGACAAGAGCCTCAAAATACAATTTGCATATTTGGTTTTTATAAATAAAAAAAATATTTATGATTTTCAATTTTATACATTTCAATAATTTTACAATCATTTAAACACTTCGAAAACTTGACTTCCTTCCCTCTCTTTCTGCGGTTCCTTAAATTTATTTTTTATATTTTCTGCATATTACAAATTAACTCAATCATTTACTCATCTGCTATAATTGTATAAAACTGCAGGTTATTACAATAGTCCTGCCAATGTTCTTATCTGTTTACAGTTTGTTTGAAAATATTCAATAAACCATTTCCATTCTTTTATAAAAAGTTTGTTATTTTGATTTCTTATTTTTCTGGTAAATTTCGCCATTTCTACGTATTCCATAAGTTTTTTTTATCCATTCTTCTTTCACTGGGACCTCTTCTTCTTTCCATTTTTGGGCAAATAACATTCTTGCCACTATAGTTGTATACATGAATAAATTTCTATACAGTTTGGGTAGTTCTGTCCCTATAATCCCCCCCTCCAATTCTTTTGGCAATTTGCATGGTTTTTGGAATATGAGTGGATTGGTAAGAACATTAACTATTTTCCAAATTGGATGTGGGGAACCTGTAGCCTTCCAGATGTTGTTAGACTCCAGCTCCCATCAGCTTCAGCCAGCTGGGTCAGCATGATGGGTGATGAAGTCCAACAAACCTAGATAGATCCAACATACACTCTTTAGAGGAATGGAATCTTTTGTGTGGAATCAGGACGTATGTAAAAAATATGTGTATATCTTTAACGTCATGCCTAATAATTTTATAAATTTCC